CGCGATTCGTTGAACAGAACGGGGGTAGCAACGGAGAGTTCTTTGCCCTCCTGTTAGCTTAAGGGCAATACTTTGCATGACAAACTCGACCTTGTTGTTTATTTCAGTTTCAAGTCGAGAAAGGGTAAACAAAGCTTTCGTGAGATAGCTAAAAAGGAGCACTTGGAAATATGAGCTGTTTTTGGTAAATGTCTGAGCTCTTGCTGGCTCATGTTATAGAGCTTTTAGAGCTTTTAAGGGGTTACTGTAACAGGGAAGGGCTCTATGCACTTTTGAAGTAGGACAGCATTTCGACGTCTTGAATAGGAAAAAAAGGTTCCCACCTCAATTCTCGCCATATTGCCATGGTAGGGGCCAAAGAAGGGCATACGTTTCTTCTTCCCAGGGTTAGCCAAGGGGACTGATTTCTAGCCTCTTTATACACCGTCTTAAATGAGTTACCAATATTCCCTCATGGGATTGAAAGCAGAGTATGACCGTAGGATGGGAACTTTCTCTAGTGATTGGAGTTTTTTGAGAACTGCTCAGATTTCTACCCTGAAATACGCGAATTTTCCTGGGACTTCTGACTCAAGATCTCAATCTATGCTCTTACACAATTAGGTTCCCCCTGAGACAGTCTTTTCATGGGGCCCTGTGCGATCTTCTGAAGTAGGCGGCATCGTTGTGCGACGCCATGAAGCGAATTGGAAATGAATTCTTCCAGGGTCCACTCAGACCATCCGTGCCTCTGGGAGTGGTTTCAAATGGTTCCAGTTTGATTTTGTTAAACAGTATATCGATCAGTAGTTAGTATAGGTTGTTCACTGATTTGGACCAATACATATATTCAAATTTCTTTATAAATCTGAAGTGTGAAGTCCACGGCGCATACTAACCAGATTAACCTCGGCAATCTTTCCTTCAGTGCGGACTCTTTGAAAAAAAACTGACCAGAGTTGTCGGCTTCAGATGACAAATAATCCGAATGATTTATTTGACTGAGAGAAGGAGAGGGCTTTCCGGCGAGACCTTCTTCACATTCCTCAAATCGAGGGATAACGATCATCGGGAACTCTTTTTTGGCACCACATTCTAGCTGTTTTTCCTCTGTGACACTCGTGATATCATCCACTTTCGAAGAGCCGTCCTTAAATTGCCTGCCTCGTGAAAATGGGTGGTGACTCAATTTAGTAGTAGTGTTAGAGTCGTATGCGCGTGGTTAGAGATCGCTCGAGCGCTCATCATCGGATGAATGCACTGGAAGCCGACATGGCTGAGCTTTGGTTGAATCAGATGTTGATGTGGGATCGCCAAAGTAAACATAAACCAAGAAAAGTGTTTATTGCTTCCCCACTATCTTTTCTAGACAACTACTTGGTGGGAAAGTTGGCTTAGTTCTGAAAGAAAATTATTTTTTTTTGTAACCAATCCCTCCGTGGCCCCGGCCAGCGTAGTAGTCTAAAGGGAACACTGTCATTCCAAATGCACATGTAAGAAGGTGCCATGAATTTAACGACATGAAAAAAAGCGGAGGCAATGGATTGATCCCATTGGGATTACAACTGACCACCTATTAAAAAGTTCTACAGCAACTAGTGTTCTTGTATAGGCCTCAACAGACGAGTTATAATGTTCTTGCTATCAATTGATACCATTAGAATGAGCCACGTCTCCTGCTCCATTTAGAGTTTTAGAAGCATCTCTAAGTGTTCCGCTTCACCCAAATACCCACAAGCTATAGCCATCCGTACAATGCGACAAATATTTTACTATAGATTTTGTTTTTATTCAAAAGATTTTTATTTTCAACTTTGAGGTTGGGTGGAAGTGGTGTAGTTGCAACTGGCGTGCCATCACAGATGAATGGCCCGAAGATCGAATCCTGGACAAATACCAACCAAGCTAACCAAGCCTTCCATAATTCCGGGTTCAAATAATTGATGCCAGACTTGTTTGGGAGGATAAAGCTCTGATCTGAATATTGCCTGGCCACACAGCATTTCATTGTATAGACCACATTCGCTTTCAAATCGACATTACAACTTTAAATAGAAGTTGAATGCGGAGGCGCATCCAAAAAAAAGGACTGATCACTCCGCAAACTTTTTTCTCAATATAAAATTTACCATAATAGCAACGCGGATGTGCTTCCGGGGTGGAATAAGCCAGACGGGAAAGAGCTATATTTAGCCCGATCAGGATGTAGCGAGGTGGAATCGTGCATTAGTATATAATGTGTGACGAAGGCGGTGAATATGTGGGCGATCGTCGCGGGAATGTCACCAGAAAGAAAGCTTAAATTGGCCGAACTTCATAAATACTCAAGTCCCGCGTCATTGCAGCGGATAATGCCGGAAATGTCACGTAGGCACTTCCGTGAAGGTGAAAACTCCAAAAGGAGTCCGTCCAAAAAACACCCGGAGAAACTTTTGGATTTGGGTGCCCGTCCACTTTTTTGCACTCCCCTAGGCTTTCGCTTAAGCCAACGACCGTAGTTGAAAAGGCCATCACCGTTGTATGTACTCAATCTGTTGGATGTACCCCTTACTCAAATTCTATTCAGAGTCGTCGTGACCTTTTGAATAATGTGGCCTTTACAATGAATTGCAGTAACTAGCCGAAGGGCAATTCAGGGCTTTCTTCTTTTTCTTCTAATGGAGCAAAGGGAGACTTGCTTTTCTTACTCGAATATCCATCCGGGAGAGAAAACGTCGAATATCTGACCCTGTTGATCCTACCCAAAGGCATTGTCCACAATAATTTTGAGTTATCTTTTTCTAGTTAAATAACGGTATTGTTGGGGCAGAACGGTGCATTCACGTCATTTGATCAGCTACTTCAACTTTCAACAAATGTGCTCCATTGCGAATAGTGCAGTCTTTACAAGGCCGCTGAAACACGGCCACTTCTGCACATTGTAAATTAAAGACAATTTTGAGATCTTAATACGCCTACTCATGCAGTTTTTCGGCCTGACAGCAGAACATGTGCTATTCTTATGAGTTGGGGATTTGCCATAAGTGGAAGTCTCGGAAACCGTTCTTGTCGAGGACGTGAAAATTCTTTTTGAAGTGCTCCCCATGAATTAGCGCTGTTCATTTTGGATTAATAATCATCAAGCAATTGTACACCGAAGCTGTTACATCTATCCGATGAAGTAGTTTATGTAATACTAGCTAATCCAGTTCTGTTATGTAGTGGTAATTGGTCAATGAGAACACCGCCTTCTCAAATTATCATCATTTCCAGAAACTTAACTTCTGGGAATCCCAGTTATTGAGAGAAGGATTCAGATGTAGGGCTTTTGCAATTTCTGATTCAGTTTCGAGGTGATTAATCACCTTCTCAGAAATAACCTAAAAGGGGTTACAAAAACTGGAATCCGAAACCAATTAGCCTGGTAGATGGCAATGTATAGGGCAAATAATTCTTCAATAATTCCCACTCTGATGAGAATCCTTGGGATGGTTCATTTCGAACACTGAGGTGATCGCCAAGAACTGCAGCGTGCGGACGCGTCGCGGTTTCCCAAAATCACCTGCGCCTTTACAGTTTAGCAAATTCAAGTCCTAATTAATGAATATTTGGTCAAAATGGGGAAACAGTTGGTGAATGGATTATTGGTTAGACTCTTTGCGGGCGCATCGCAACCGCGTGCGGTACGAGCTGCTTCCGCTCCAAGGTTTTCCAAAACTGCCTTCATTACCTCATTCCCTTCCGCTTCTTTTCCATGAATGTTTACGTCTCAATGTCAACATAATTGCTTATCTTCACGCAGTATTTTTCACATTTTTTACCTAATTACTGGTAATTTTGATGGCTACAGTAACTCGTCACATTAGAGTGACTCTGCATGTTAACGAGGTGTCTGATAAACATATCTAAAAAAGTATAGAGACAAGCCCTTGTCTACATATAAATGGGCATTCGAGCCGAAGTGATCAACACTATTAGTGAGTTACATCCTGTAAACAACTAGCCTGTAAATGTGAATAGATGATGACTGGTTTCATCGTAGCGTAGGATAATCTCTTGGCTGATATTTAATGAGGAGCCAATAATAACTGTGGTCTTAAAGGGATTGAGTTCGGTTCCCATCAACATCGCCTTTCACTTTACTTAAATCGGATATTTTAGGGATTCCTTGTACGGGGAAAAGGGACGCTGGCTACTTTTGCCCATCACTGGTTTATACTAAATAGAAAGTGCTGTAAAGAATGCCGTAGGTCTCCGGAAAGGTTTGAGGTCGCACTGCGGTTGCAAGTTGACCCACTCGTAAAAGCTCGAAGTATTTTTTGGTCATCATAGCTGAAAGGGGGCGGAGGTGGTGTACTGGCAGGTGGCGCACTATCTCACACGCGCGGTCAGGGGTTCGAATCCCGGATCGATGCCCGCCTGGGCCAACCAAGCCTTCCGGAGGGGGGGAGGGGAGGGGAGGCGTATCCCTCAGCGGGGTTAATTAACGCCAAGAACTTTATCCCTCACCCTTTTATCATAGCTGAAAAGCGCTCAATTATGAAAGAGTCTCGCGATCGTGGAAAGTGGGTGGATGTCGACTGCACGGCGCACTCCCAGCAAGGACAAGATCGTCTTTTCTAATAGTGTCAAAATGCCAAACGATACTACTATGCTTGGGATTATACTTTTTGTGACGTCACAATTTCATGGCGACTCCCTGGAGCGTAAACGATCTCATTACTCCCCAGAGAAGATGGGAGAAAACAATTTCGGCGCTTCTGTTTGTTTTTTACTCTGTGGTTGTGATCACTTTTAGCATACACACTTCTCGTATCAATAAACAAAGCGGTAAACAACTAATGTAGGTAAATAAATAAATAGAAAGGGTCGTAATGAAATAACTCTACTAGTTGTGGATCAAAAAAAACTGAAAAAGATTGAAAAAACGGATATTTCTGAAATTCTTCGTTTTAATGAAACTGCAACGGAAGATCAATTGCATGGCGTATTCCGAGAAGCGTTCCTCAAGTTCGAAGCTTCACACATAATTGTTTAACTAATTAGATGAACAAACTGAAAAAGTTGCCTTAAAATCAGCTCAATCAATCAATTTTAATCTGAAGTTAAATATTTCCAGATCGAGGTATTCATCTACTTCCTGTGTTTTGTTATCGGTGGCCCACTGAACGTAATCTCGTTGCGACGTTCACTTCGAGCTTTCAGGTGAATTTTGTCTTACTGTATCACCGAAATGTCTGAATTCAAAGGCACAGTTCACAATAATTTTGAGGTACCCCTTTTTTTTCGAAAAGCGAATGTATAGATTGGGAATAGTTCATCGGTAATGAAGAAAGCGGGAGAATTCTTCGATTTCAAGGAAAATATGGCTCCACAAAAGTAGGACAGTAGGTGTTGGACGAGATTTCCATGACGGAAATAACATGGAAGGGGAATTCGGACGAGATTCCATTTATTGCAATGGCCCGAAGAGCTGATTAAATCAAGTCATAACTATCCAGAATTGCCATTTACTGACGCTATGGGTCATGACATGTTGTTTGAACTTCCTACATGGGTTCCCTTGTGTTCGGTGCAGCCTCTACAATGCCGGTGAAACTCGTCCGTGGATAGACACGGTCCAATATTTGAGCCTTTATAACTCCCTAACAAAGCCGTTTTCCGACCTAATAGTGCCAGATATGGTATATGCGAGGCCTCAAATTAATCCTATGGGGAAATCTCAGGAACCATTTCTATCGTGAACTGTGCCTTTGAATTTCACCATAGAGTTGTTGAGTCTTTGAGCACATTGGCCTATTAGATTGGGTAGGGGTGGGAGGATTTGATAACGTTGTGGTGAATGTTTACACCCTTGAACTTTGAACCAAAGTAAATCCCCTTCATTTCAGTCAACATAAAGCAAAAAGCCCTATTTTACTTCTCCGAATCAATTTGAATCTTGCTGATCTCTGCACATTGTTCGTCTTCGTGCCAAAGCAAATCGTATGGATGCTAACCTACCAGGTTTGTTACAGTTCTAGGCAAAAATTTTAAAAAAACATTATCGGCACTGGTTTTCCACAGTAATCCGGCAAAGGGTCCTGGCTCGAATGCATTCCTTTGTGCCATCATATCAAGGTATTCGACCCAAGAACATCAGCCGGTTTTGAAAATACCTACTTTCTTTGCGATATATGTCTGGTGAGGACGCAAGTACTGTAATAAGGTGTTTTGTCGTAGAATGAAGTGTGTTGTTCGTAAAGCTCCACGACCGAATAGTCTCGAGGAATTCACAATACCCGCTTTCTGTGACTTTCATGGTAAATACTACTTTAGAAGGAGATTTGTGTAGCGCAGAAGTGCAATTTTTTGCCGGTGGGCTTCCAAGTGCTGTAGCTGCTGAATTTGGCGAAAGCCTCTGTTTACACAAAGTGATTAGCTACTGGATGGCAATACTTACAAAGCTCTCCCCGGAAAAAACTACAGAGAAAGGAACTATCCAATTTCGCCAAAAGACAACTTTTTGATTACTCAGAGTTCCTGGAAAAGCAAACCTTGAGTGGAAAATGTTCTGTTCAGAATAGGCAGAAATATAACGGAATTTTGAGAGCACGATAGGCTTAGCATAGAGGGATATATTTCTCCGAGTCGGTTGATTGGTACCAGATTCGTCTGGGAGGACAAAAGCTCTGACTTGTACATCGGCTGGCCATCGCCAGTCATTCTATGGTCCACATACGCATTCAACACGCCCCTACGGTTCTGATCGGAAGTCGAATGGGAGGCGCATCCCAAAAATTAAAAAAAATTAAAATGAATTAATCAGCGCCGAAGACTATCCTACTTATCTCTGATTTGTTTTTGCTAGTGTAAATGCTAGTCGGACGCTTTTTTAAGAAAGAAAATTTTTGCGGAAATTCAGCTCCAATATAAAANAAAAGAGATCTTTTACTGGATGCTTTCATAGAGCAATGATCGTTGAAAGGGAGGCGTAGAACTTGAAATTAGTTTCCTAGAAAGTTTCACCTAACAAAGCAAAAGAAAAAAAATCGGAAGATTGCTTGCTAATTATATGGAACTAAGACATTTCTCTATTTGAATCTTGGGGAGAACGGGAGAGCTATAATTCATGCTGTGAAAAAATTCATGAATATCAGATAGTAGGAGGGAGGCAGGGGAATTAGGAAGAGAGGGGAGAAGGTAGGGGAGGAAAACGGGGAGGAGGGGATGAGAGAACATTGACCACAGTAATCTATGAGCTTGTGTTCAAGTTCTTGGCTTCGTAAACCGTTCAGAAAAAGAGCTGTAGACCAAAAGGGATCCTGGGAAACGTGGTATCTGGGCGAAGACGAATTTCGCGATGGCACGATTTGCTTTGGAAGATTCGAATGCAAGAGTACAAGGGCGATAATTTGGCAGAGAAAGAAATGGAAGGAATCACTGAAAATCACGACATGACACACTCGCTCCTAGTTTGGCGAAAATGTACAGGATGTAAGGTTGTAGAGATACCTCGTTTCTAGAAAGAGATGTAGCCATAGAGTGGTTTGTGTTAGAGATAAGAGAGCCCAGACGGTATGAGAGGTAGCGCCCAAGCCTACCTCTCATGCCGTCTGGGCTCTCTTCTCTCTTAGGTCTGGGCTTTAAGGCAAAGCTGGCGGTAAAGATTTTATTGGTGTGAAACTCAACCCTCGCGTACTATGGTCCAAGAGATGCTGCGCCTTATCTCGTGGTCAGTGCCAAACTGATCAGTCGAATCTCTTTGGGATGGGCCGTTGCGGGCAAAAAACAAGAGGGAATACATGAGTATTTTGGTTATAGTCTGGAAGGACGAGGGAATTTCTGAGTTCCGCTAGGATTTTGGAAAAGTGACAGCACATGCATGGACATGGGTAGCGCGAATGAAGCCTAATCCATATAAGTTTTCCAAGGGTTGTCAGTGTTTGCATGAACTCATTTACTTTTTGTGAAGGATGAGGCACTCAGTATTGACTCTTCCGGGAGACACCGTACATTCAACTTTCATCCGTTGGAATTGTGCTGTAGTCAGGAACTGGGACACTTTTTCCCCTCTACGAGGACCTGCAAGAGGCCATGTTTGCCTTCTTCTCTCTGAATTTGATTCTGATTTATGGATCGATAGATTGAATGGTTTCGATTGGAATTTGATGGATTGAAATCATGGAATGGGTCTCCAAAAGATTGTTGGACGTCGTACGGAACTTCAAAATCCATCTCGTCCACGGCTGAGGACGAGATGGATTTTGAAGTTCCGTAAATGTGTGATACAGTAATCCCCCATAATGCTTTACCACCTACCCCTGTGCCTCCCCCAAGAGAAACCTTTTTGATACGTCGTATTTGGGTTACGGTCACATATTCACGGGACTTCAAAATCCACCTTCGTGGCTGGGGTATGTGCAATGTAGCAAGATGAGACGTATCTACTACTAAATGACTAACTTGCGGTGTTCATTCCAATCGCTTCCGGTTTTTTTCTAATTTTCTTATTTTTTATTGCATTTCAGTGGTACGGTGGTGAGCTGTTATGTCGAGTATGCTCGTTCTTCTCAACATTTTCCTTTTATGCGAATTCATTTGTAATCGCTTGTATAGCTATTGATCGTGTGTTTGGAGCTTACAATATGAGGTGAGTGAAGCTACGAATTACTATAATTTACGAGCGGCCTAATTACTTAAGGCTAATCATGGGCTCGTGGGTGAGATGAAGCGCAAGATGCCGTGACGATTCGGTCACAGAGCAAAGAGCATGTAAACGTCCTTCCAATTATATTCTTTATTGTGCTTCTTCGGGATTGCTACGAAGGAGTAGAAGATAAGGGGGAAAGGGATGGGGGATGGCGAGTGGGGAAAATATAATACGAGGGAAACTACTACTACTTTTACAACAAAATCGTACTCCGTTCGAAATTTTCCTTTTATTTCCTCAAAACGAGAATGGGAGGAGGAGAACGATTATGTAAGTCGGATCAAGCCTACGTTTCGACTATCGCAATCCTGAGATAATCTCTTATTGTTAGGGACGATGAGATTGTCGGGTGCTTATGCTCATGCTCATGCTGTGCTCATGCTTATGTCAGACTGCTCAGGATACGGCACTGCAATCGATTGCTAAACCCTATACGGTTGGAAGTGATAGTTTATGGGAGCTCCAGCTTGGTAATATGGGCTCTACTGTGTTCAAACTCAACAAGTTTGTGAGTTAGCTGACTTCTGGCTTCATAGGAGTCTACTGTCTCATGTACTTGTTATTTCTGGCTTCTATCTCAAACAGTTAATTCAAGGTTGGGAAGCTGTTTGAGGTGGAAGCTTGGACAGAAACGAGAATTCACTACATCACGTTAGCCTTACAGAACCTTTCGGCAAAGTACAATGCATGGGATGCAGAATTTCACAGACAAGACGTAATCTTACACGGTATAACCCTAGTTGGATACACCGTCACATAAATCTTCATCATTTTCACCTGTCACATGCATGACGCATCGAAAAGGGGCCTGCAAGAACGCGGGATAGGTGTCGGGTAGCTAGGTAGTTAGCCTGGAATCACTCGCTCAAGCCGGAAACCATAACCGGGATGACTGAAGCCGGAATCGTGCCGTATTGAATTTCCATCTTAGGAAGTTTGGTACTTGCTTTTCGTGCGTTATGTGACTTTATAGCAATGGTCGTTTGTTTATGAGTAAACCAGAATAAGTAAAAAAGTAAAAAGTAAAAGTAAACAAAAATCAAAACTGATAAAGTTCTATTTCAATGATAGAATGGAGCTTACTTTGGTATACATATTTACCAAGCATGTTGCCCTTACATTCCCCTTTTAACAGTCCCCTGTTTACAATAACATGAACAGATAATCTAAAATAA